GGATCACAGGTGACCCAGAGGTGGTGGACGCAAGAGGAGCTGCATCACAATATAAAGTGGCTGGAGCTCAGGGCAGCTCGACTGGCTCTCAAAGGATTCCAGCAGGAGGTTTCAGGACAGCATATTCTACTCTTCATAGACAATGAGGCCACCAAGGCCCACATCAATTGGCAGAGGGGCCCCAGATCCAGTTCCTAATGCAGGAAGCAACTCTACTGTGCCTTTGAGCAGAGAGACATCTACTGTTGATACAGGTAAAGCACATCTCAGGAGTATTGAATGTGCAGGCTGACTGGCTAAGCAGGGCCACAGTTGACCAGTTGGAGTGGCATCTGCATCCCAGTCTGTTCAAGGAGCTTTCAGAGCAGTTCAGCTGTCCAATTCTGGGCCTCTTTGCCTCTCCATCAAACACTCAACTTCCAAGGTTCCTTATGAGGTTTCCAGCACCAGGGGCAGAAGAGGTCAATGCACTGTGCCTGTGGCCCCATGGCCTGTTGTATGCCTTCCCTTCTCTTCCTGATTCCAGGTACAATCAGGACAGTGCTGTCAGAGAGGGTGGAGGTCTTGCTACTAGCTCCACACTGGCCCAGATGACTGTGGTTCGCCGATCTGGTAAGCCTGTTGATTTTCAGGCTGTGGAGGATTCCCCCAGGCAGAGTGTCCCTCAGCCAGGGCCCCATCACACAGGGTCTGGAGCCCCAGTGATTACAGTTGACTGTCTGGCATTTGAGCGGGGACTTCTGAAATGGGACAAGTTTTCCATGAAGGTCATACAGATGATTCAGTCAGACGACCTTCCACTGCTAGGATTTATGATGCAACATCGAAGAATTTCTGTAGTTGGTGTTAGAGACAACAAATTGAACCCACCTTGGTGTCAGTGGTAGATATGCTGGAATTTCTGCAAGACGGTCTAGACAGTGGTCTATCACTGAATATCTTGGAATGGCAGCCTTGGCTTTGGTGTGTTGTTCAAGAACCTGACCTCTCTTGCCCAGCACCCTAGAGAGAGAGAGCCTTTCTTAGGAGTGCATTGGTACCCCACTTGGGACCTTCCAAAAGTATTACAGGCTCTGACTGTGGCACTGTTGGAGCCTGTACAAGAGGCCAGCCTGTGCCTCCTAATGTACAAGGTGGTTTTCCTGGTGGCCATTACATCAACCAGAAGGATTTTGGAGTTGGCAGCCTTATTGGTGCTGAAGGATCTGTATATTTTCCATCAGAACAGGGTGGTTCTGTGGCTGCACCCTGCCTTTCTACCTAAGGTGAAATCCTTGTTTCATTATTCACAGGAATTGGAGATTTGTTGGGCAGAGACGTTGTCATCACCATCCCCATTCATCCAGCATTATAGACTGGGCACCTTTGCATCTGTGGAAGCAGCCTTTGGTGGGGAAGTCCTGCAAGGGGTATATGTCAAGGCAGGGACTCCAGACCAGACCGATGCCTGCCCATGGGACAGCCAGCTTTTGTATGTCCCACTCTGGATTCTCCCGTCAACTCAGTGGAGAATGGGCATTGGTACGTACCTGAATGCCATTTCTCGGGGAGTCCACAGGAGAATCCATCCCCACCCTGTAGACTGTCTGGTCCAGAATCCAGGAGGGGTTGCCTTCAGCTTGGAGAAGGACTGGATTCACTTTGCCTTCATTTCGACTGGGGACCGTTACCATGGAGGCGTGTCCTCAGAATTCAGCTCAGTCTGAAGAGCACAGATATGAGACTATCCACTCTGGATTCTCCCATTGACTCCCCAAGAAATGGTGTTCGGATAAGTACCATTTTAAAGCTCATGCAGAAGCCTGGGAAAAAACCTGGAAAAAATATGAACTGTTTTAATGAGCAACAAAAACTACATTTGTTCATACAGATAGTCCTCAATTTATTACCGGTCGCTTATGTTCATTTAAACTTATGATGGACGCCCTCAAAGGTACTATGACCCAATTATGAATTTGTGCAACCTGCCCTCCTCATGTGATCACATGTTGGTTGATTAGTAACGTTCCTGTATTTATGGTCATTTACAGTGTCCTACATTTCTGTGACCACATTTATGATGTTTTTGATTAAAACTGGCATTTACTTCAAGTTTTTGGCAAAAACACCCCATAGAAGCAATGCATTTGTTTTATAACTTCAGCATTTGCTTTATGACCATTGCAAAAAAAGAAGATAATAAAATCAGGTAGATTAAATGACTGACCCACTTGATGATTGTCATCTTTTATGACAATATTAGGCAGGCTCCATTATCATCATAAATCAAGGGCTACTTGTACAAGTTTTGAGATACATTCAAATCCTTTCTGAAGTATGCACCTTTAGTAGTTTAGATATAAAAATGTGTTTTATGTTTTATGTAAAGAAATAAGGTAGAGTGTAAATGGCTGAAATAGTTGCAAATAGATTCTATAAGGTGAAATAATAGAAATGTGCAAATATATCAGTCTGGTATTCCAACCTTGTAATGGTTGGATAGGATACAAAGCATTCAGGTTCTGATAACTTTTTTTCAACATAAGAATAAAATGTGGCTGCATCATTTTAAGTGTTCCAACTGTTCCAAATGCAATCTGACATATCTAGGTAGCGGAGAGGTTGCATCAGTTGTTTTGTGCTTTATTTTTCAGATAGCTAATGCAATATGGATGTATGCATGCAATATTTGCATTGGTATTGGCAATGCTGCTGAGATTGTGTGAGTACAAAATTACAGTACAGGTTTGGTTTAATTGGTTTATGGAACTTTTGCATGTGTGTCTATTCTTTTGAGTATGCTCTTATGTGCTGATACTCTCAGCCTCTGGTAATATTTAAATGGCAAAGATGTTTTTTGGGATGATTTGTTGATCTTTGGTGTTCTTGTATTATTCTCTATTTGCTTTTTTGTCTTTTTACAGTTATGTTTTACTTTGCATTTAAAAACATAAAAACAATGTCAGCTTGGGCCATTGTAGAAGATAGAGCAGAAGTCTTCAAACTTGACAGCTTTAAGGCTTGTGGACTTCAATTCCAGAATTCCTCCTCCAATCATGTTAGCTCAGGAATTCTGGGAGTTGAAGTCCACAAATCTTAAACTTGGCAAGTTTGAAGACCTTGAGATAGAGCTTTAGTATGGCAGTTTATTCTTGCATATATTTCTGTTAGTTATGCAATGAAAATGCACTAGCAACACCCCTTTTTTCCATCCATTCCTTTGTGCAAGCAAAACAATAGCAAAGAGCAACAGACCACACTGGACTTGTGTCCACCAGAAGGAGGAGGAAGTGAGAAGATCTGTGCTAAATCTTGCTAAATAATTGCATCTATGATGCAGAAATATTTAAAAAAAACACAAACTAATTTTAATAAGGTGACCAACTGTCCTCCTTTTGTAAGTTCTGTCCTCTCTCAAAAAGTGTTCTCCTACATGTCCTCCTTTTTGATATTTGAAGACTAATCTGTAAATCTCTGTATTTGATTGATGCTGATCTGATCCGTTGTGTGTAATGTGACGTATTTGACATGAAGATTCATCAAGGCTCGGTACAGTGTGGTGAGACGCGATTATGAGACGCATGCGCTCCACACAGGAAAATTGTTTTGAGAGAGTGTGCTGCATGCAAGAGTGCACCGTGAGCAAGAGTGCACCCGTGTGCAAGAGTGCGCCGCATGCATGAGTGCACCGTGCGCAAGTGGCTTTGTTTTTTTTCTTCAATTTATTTGTCTCCTCCTTTTCATTGTAAAAAAGCTGGTCACCTTAATTTTAAAGAAAAAAAAAGTAACATTATAGATAATGCTATAGGAGTATACCAGTAATTCTTAAACAATCTCAGAGAACCAGATAAGAACTTTAAAGATGGAAATAAACTAGCTAAACCTAAATGATGTAAACATTGCCTTTATATATAAAACTAGTCCATGATTAACTGTAATTATTGAAATTCTTGCAATATTGGCTTTTAATTATTTATTGTTTATTCCAATTCTGCCTCCAGGTCAATTGCTTTGCTTATCTTCAGACTGGAGAAATGAAAACTGAAAGGAGTACCAATAAGATTAGCTGTTTAGACCTGCTAATGTAATGGCTCAATATTTAAGGTTTATTTAGAGAACTGAAAATGTCTTTCTGGTTTTTTTTTGAGTTGTGACCCTCAGTGAATAGCTTATTTCCTGACTTTGAAGAAATCTGTAAAAACATGACTATTTCATGAGACTTTAGGGTGTAAAATATTATGACTACTGTACTCCTCAAGTGAGAAATGGTGTTTTAAGTTTGAACAATCAATTCTTCTATGTTCGGTTTTACATTGCTTTTTTAAAGGATTATTAGGGTTTTATCTGTTTGAGTTTATAAAGAAGAGAACTATTGACTACTCAGAATCAGCTCCAACTGGAGTGATTTATAAGCCTTGTAAACAAAAGAAATAAATGATTTTAATGCTAAATTTAAGCTAACAAAACATTTAATGGATTACAGCAGAACTGTGTTCCCATTATTTCCCTTGAGGATTTGTGTTAATGTTTTCAGAATTAAAACCATCCTTTTGGCCAATGCATTTACTAGTGGATTGGCTAGTAACAATCAGCTGCCATTCCAGGGATTTGTGTCCTAACAGTGGTAAAGTAGGGATGCAGGACATGTTGTTTCTGGAACACTGAGTCATTTCAAGTTTTCTTTCATCAGAATGCAAGATTCTCTAAATTATTCATCAGAACATGTTTTTTATTTTGCGTATTACTCTGCTGAATACATTTATAATTAGGCCCTACTTTGAAAAGTTTGAGAAACATTGCATGTTCAAAAGTTTGAGAAACATTGCATCTTCAAGTTGCCAAGATTGCATGTTTCTCAATCTTGGCAACTTGAAGATGAACAGATTCAATTCCCAGATCCCCCAGCCAGCATGCCTAGTTGGGGGTTTCTAGGAGTTGAAGTCCATCCATTTTCATGTTGCCAAGTTTGAGAAACACTGCACTAAAAATGAAAGTCAAAAGAATTGAAAGTTGATATGTACTAGACGGCCATGGTTTCCTGGTTGTCCCTTTTCTCCTTTCACACCAAGAATACCAGTTGTTCCCTGAGGAGAAAAAAAAAGCAAAAACATGGCAATAAAAATAAGTATTATAAAATACACAGTTTATATACTTCTTTCTATTTTTACAATTCAGATTAATGAACCAAAATATACTGCATATTAATTTCCATATGAAAAGAAATTATAACTTGCATTGTTGGCAAGACAATATGAATCAATGTTTTTGCCCAGAATATTAACTATGCTTCAGAAAACTTCTTAATGAATCACAGATATAACATTATTAAACTTTGAATATATGTTTGTTTTTATCATGCTATCATTCTGTTTATACTAGTTTCTGTCTGGCAAAATATGAAGAAATAGGTAAACGCTCATTTTTACATTTTTTTCAAAATACGCTTACAGATATTTAATAGCTGGTTTTTAAACTTTTTACATGCAAAAAAATAATTTCATTGTTTGATCTAGAGACAATTTAAAATACAACTTTTGTTTATTTATGTGTTGTCTATTAGAGCTATACGTTGTCTTTTCATAAACAAACAGTATTCTGGACTGTTTGTTAATGTAACATGACAATAAAATGCCAAATTGTTTTTATAGCACAAAAGCAAATAATTTTTCCAAGGGCTGTGGAAGAGTGCTAAAGACAATTAAAGCATCTTCTGAACTTATTACTTGAAGCTCAGAAATATCATTTTCTATCCAAAGTCTAGTACAGCTACTATTAGTGTCTTAGCGCTTGAGTAAGCATGCATATAAATACATGCGCATGCACAGATGACTCTTTTATCATCAGCTAGCCATTTTAGTTTAATAACACTTCTGCCAGAATTGTCTTATGTGCATTCACATATATTTGTATAGTATGAGGAGGCTCCTAAAAGTGGACACACTGCACTGTTTGATGCTTCAGGCAGATGGGGAGTAGAATAGATGCTGTATTTGCTTTTCAAAATGGCCTTCTGAATGCTTTGCATAACACAATAAAAGAGAATCAATTTTTTAAAAGGAGAAATTTAAAAAGAGAAAACTGAGAAAAAAAGTTTTTAGTGCACACAGGCAACATTTCTATACAAATGTTTTTAACAGAAATAATAACTTTCCAATCAGCCTTCTCAGTTCCTTTAATAATTTTATGTGTAATGTGTATCATTTTATTTCTTAGACAATGAATGACTCATTGAGTTTTTAATAATATACTCCTTAATGTATCATTTTAAAATGTCTACAAAATAACAATGTATCACACATACAAAATCCTTACTAATTAGAGATTCTTTTTGTGAATAGGTAAAAAATATGTATGCTGGCAGAAGTGATAGTGTCAAGTCAAGCTTTATAAGGCTCACTGATCCAGATGCCATTTAAAAAGGGGTCAGTATGCAATACAAATTACGATGTGATTTACGTGATAAAAAGGCTTGCACTTGCATTGTACATAGCCTAGAAATAATACATAAACTGGTTGTTATGTATAACTTCTAAAATGTAACAGAGGGCTTTTACCACTAAATGCTATCTGATTGAATCTTATCAGTTGATTAGTTTAATTGCAAATTATGTGTATTCTAATGTCATTATCTTTTCTTTTTACACATATGAATGTGACTACACATAGAAGCACATGCTAATATCTACCAGGGAACCTTGAACTCCTTGATCTCCTTGCAAACCATCTGAACCAGGATTTCCTTCCTCTCCCTGTAAGAAGATACAGTTCTTGAATATCAACTTTACTACAGTATAAAAATTTCTCTCAGATTCAGAATTCTGAAAGTTGCTATTCCAATTATCTGGAAGAACACAAAGGTGGATAGAGCTGTGTTAGAAGGAATAACAGAATAACAGAGTTGGAAGGGATCTTGTAGATAATCTAGTCCAACCCACCACCCAAGCAGGAAATCCTACACCATTTCTGACAATGGCAGTCCAGTCTCTTCTTGAAAGCTTCTAGTGATGAAGCTCCCACAACTCCTGAAGGAAAGCTTTTCCATTGGTTGATTGTTCTCACTGAAACAAAATTTCTCCTTATTTCTAGATTGAATCTCTTCTTGATCAGTTTCCATCCATTATTCCTTGTCTGGCCTTCAGGTGCTTTGGGAAACAGCTTGCCCCCCTCTTCTCTGTGGCAGCCCCTCAAATATTGGAACACTGCTATCATGTCTGTATCTGGTCCTTCTCTTCTCTAGACTAGCCATGCTCAGTTCCTCAGTTCATATCCTTTAGTCTCCCTAATCATCCTGGTTGCTCTTCTCTGCACTTTTTCTAGAGTCTCAACATCTTTTTTTATAGTGTGGTGACCAAAACTGGATGCAGCATTCTAGGTTTGGTCTTACTAAGGCTTTATAGAGTGGCATGGTACCTCACATGTTCTTGATTGTATCCCTCTGTTAATGCAATTTAGGATTGCATTGGCTTTTTTGGCGGCCACTGCATACTGCTGGCTCATATTTAGCTGGTTGTCCACTAAGACTCCAAGACCCCTCTCACAGTTCCTGCTATTAAGACTAGTTTCACCCAGTCTATATGTATGCTTTTGGTTTTTCTTGCCTAAGTGCAAGACTTAACTTTTCTCTGCATTGAATTTTTAATGCTTTATTACCCTATTGGTGCCTCTCCCATTCACTTGCAATAGGAAATCATTAGGGGTGAATTATCCTTTCATGACACTTGACATTGCATTTTTGGTTTTTCTTGCCTAGGTGTAAGAGTTTACTTCTCTATGCATTGAATTTCATTTTGTAAGTTAGGGACCAGTGTTCAAGTCTGCCAAGATCCATTGGGATCTTGAGCTGATCATCTAGGGTTGGCTATTCCTCTCAGCTTAATATCATCTGTAAATTCGATAAGCTAACCTTCTATTCTCTCATCTAAGTTTTTTATGAAGATATTGAAGAATACTGGGTAGAGGTGGTATTTAGCAGGTTCTGATCAGGTCTGGAGAACTGGTAGCAGAAATTTTGAGTAGTTCTGAGAACTAGCAAATACCACCTTTGACTGAAGATTTTACAGTATCCTTCCCCTGCCATGCCCACCAAGCCACACCCACAGAAATGGTAGTAAAAAATTATTGAATCTCACCACTGATACTGGGCCTAAGACAGAACCTTATGATATCCCACTGCTTACTTTCCTCCATGTAGACGTAGTGGCAGTTAAGGACTACTCATTGAGTATGGTTTGTCAACCAGTTACAAATTCATCTAATGATGATGCTATCTATCCCACTTTTTTCTAGCTTACTAAGAAGTAGGTTGTGGTCTACCTTGTCAAATTCCTTGCTGAAGTTGCATTTGACCATCTAACTCTGTCTTGTGAAACAAATTATTCAAGCTCAAAAAACAAGTAAATTGCAAGGCATGGGGAAAAGAGCTGGAAGATGATATGGGGAGACACATGCAGAATTCCCATCCTAATGAGCACTTGCTTTGGACAGTGGTACAATGATTATTCCTCCCAAACCTTGTGAGTAAGAAAGGATTGGAAGATCAGACAGAAACAGAAGTAGATTCCTATGCCTGATGCAACTCACTTATGAGGAATTGCAGCCAGAATAGGAATCCTGAAAATCAGGCCAAAGAATTTGGATAGCCATGGCCTATCAAACCAAGTGAACTGATTCAATTGTAGGGTGCACTGTTAGAAGGCCTAAAAGACCAGATTGAGATGTTTCTTTCTAGTGACAATGATTTGATGACACATAAACTATCAGTCATGACCTACTCCATTATGAAGGGTCAGAGTTGGGAAAGGCAACGAGGAAGTTGTCTGGAATCAAATTATACCAGTTCCTTAACTCTCATGTTCATTGGAATAAGATCAATTTAGAAAGAATTCTAAAAACCCTTCTCTTTGTTATTGCTTAGACTAGCGGTCACCAACTGGTGGGCTGCGAGAAAATTTTGGTGGGCCACAGAGAAATCTCACCCCCAGAGCACCCCCACAAAGCAATTAATTCAAGCTGCGCAGAAACACAAGGCTGTGCCGCCCATATGGCCCGCGGGAACCCTCCCTGCCCACTCACTCCTTACCTGGTAAACTTGCCTGCTAAATTGCTATTTTTCCTTTTTCGACCATCATTTGTTCTGCTGTGCCAGGAGATTTAGATTAGCTAGGAAGCAGAAAATGGTTGGATTTCTTGCTTTCTAGCTAGTCTTTAGATCTTTGGCTCAGTATAGCCAAACCTCCCTTAGGACTGAAGGTTTGCTTGCAAGCAAATTTTATGTGACAGACTGACCTAGCCAATGGCAGATAGATAGATCTCTGAATGAATCTGTGATTCTGTGACCAAATCAATCTGCCTGCTTTGCCTGATTTTGGGTAAAAGTTGCTCTTTTTTAAATAAAAAATTCAATATTTGTATAAATATTTATAATATTTACATATAAGCCATGCCCAGCCAGTCATATGACCACCAAGCCACACCCACAAATTAGGCCATGCCCACAGAACCAGTTAGTAGTCCCTGGGATCTAAAATTATGAGTTTGGTGGTCCCTGAGGTCCAAAAGGTTGGCGACCCCTGGCTTAGACCACCTTGGTGGATTTTTCTAATTTGATTAAGTTTTTATTAACTGCTCCATAGTTTTACTCATACACAGCTATGTAACTTGATTTCCCATCAAATTGCTTCCATCCCTTTTATTGACATAATTTTTTTCAGTAACATAGTCCTTATTCCAGACTAATTGTAAATGTATGAAATTAAGAAAAACCTACCTTTGGACCTAAAGGTCCTGAGTTTCCCTCAGCTCCCTGCAATAGAAGGTGTCATTTTTATTGCCATATCTTAATTCTGTTGGGTAATGAAATGTCTATTAGCTCACAGAGTACCCAAAAATGCAATTCAACCCTGAGCCATGTATATTCTCTTCTTAATTTTGTGCTAGAATTAAACAACATTTATATTTTATTTTTCTGGTTATTAAAATATCAGGTACTTTCTATTCCAGTGTCATATATCAGAACTCAGGAAGAGAACTTTTTCTATGCTTTGGATTCATCCAGAACTTAGACTCACCCCCTACCTTTCTGTCCTCTAAGAAGATATGAAGACATGATTATCCCATCATACTTGGGAACCAAGAAGTAGTGATGAACCTTTTCTATGAATGTACTACATAGAATGTATTCACCTATTGACTCTGATTAGGTGTATGCTGAATTGAGATTTATAATGTGGTTGTATGTTTGCTATTTTATTTATATTTTAAATATTGTTTTTAATTGTTGTAAGCAGCCCAGAGTCACATATATGAGATGGGTGGCTATACAAATTAAATGAATAAATTCTTAAATTGAATGAATAAATTGTCCCGATGTGGCATTCAAGTGGCCTTACAATGCTAAATTATTGTGAAATAGGAGGGATGGGCAAAACAATGGAATGTTCTAAAAGATAATATAATGCTTTAGAAGCCTCCATATCTGAATATTTGTTGATAGCATTGCCTTTACTAGTAAGACATTTAGCACCTATAAGTTGTAGTGGAACATCTTCTCTATTGTTGTAATAGAACAGAAATTGGTGAATGTAAAATTGGCAAATGTAAAAAGGACATGGGTTAATTAGCAATCCCACAATCTTCAAGAAATAGCTTTGGATTCATGGCACTCAAAGTTGTCCTGATTTATCTCCCTATCCAAATGGAGATAAGGCCAAGTGTTAAGAAATCCTGTTCATTTCTTTTTTCTAATCTTTTTGAGCAAAAGATTTTGGATTCGTTCGAGGTTCCTGGACTAAGTATTTTCTGTCTATTGAACTGAATGTGTTATATACAAAAGTAGCAGCATTCTTGTGTCTACTTGTCTAGAATTTCTGTGGAACAACCCTTATCTGCCTTCCCTTCCAGTGAATGAGAATATGATTCTGATGTGCCAAAAGAACAGTAAACAAAAATCCAGACCTTCCCAATCTACAGTAGCAGAACAGATGTGCTGAAAGCTATTTTGGCAGAACTGCATTAAAAATGGAATGTCCTGACATAGGGAAGACTCCATATGTCTCCATCTGTTGCAGCAGAAAAAAAAATGTTTGTGACCCAGAGTTCATTAATAGAGTTCAACAAGGATATTTTTTCTCCAGCTGCTAAGAAAAGCCACAAAGAAAAAAGTAAATATTAGTTTAAAATATATTTGATGGTGAGCATTCCAACATGCTTATAGACAGATCCAATCTTTCCTCTTTCTGGTTGATAGCTATGTGTAAACAATAAGTAGAAAAATAAGTTTCTCCTTCAGTGAACCTGAAGTTATGATTTCTTCTAGTCTAGCCTGGAATTTTTCTATCCTTTTCTTTCATAAAGGAAAAGCAACAATGTCCTAGTGATCTTTATTTCATCAAACAGCTTAAAGTTGTTCTAAGATGTACAAGTGTTACAGTATTTCCTTCTTTAGTCTGATTTATTCCAAATATAATCCCAAAGTGTACAGAATCTCTTAAATTCCTCAGCCATTACTTTGAAGGAAGCCTGACTACAGTGACTAGGAACAAATGCATTTGAGCAGTGTTCTCAACCTTGGTTACTTTAAGATGCATAGACTTGACAGTTCCAAAATTTCCCAGCCAGCCATTCTGGGAATTGAAGTTGACACATATTAAAGTTGCAAAGATTGAGTAATGCTGTACTAGACAGTGTGGGTAGCAAATTCTGTGTGGTATAATTTCTGTCACATCCAGGATAAGTAGATAGTGAAGATCAAGGGCCCCACCTTATTTCCTGGGGATCCTGCTGAGCCATCTGAACTTTTCAATCCTCTTTCTCCCTTGAATAGAGCATTAATATTTCTGTTAATTGATATTTTTGCTACAAACACCAAATATGTAACATTTCCATTTTTGAGCTATTCATTTCTACTAGGTCAGATATAAAAAGGTAAATGGGAGGGGCAACTTAGCATATACATTTATGAAACTCATAAAAAGTAGTATCAGAGAAACCTAACTGTTAAGCCAATCTATAATTACTATTATTATCAAACACTAATATAATATTGGACTAAAATTAGTTTAATCTTTTAAATAAAGTTCCCTCCAGAAGAAACATTTTCCTTTTTCGAGCACAATTTGATGTTTAATAAGTAAATTATTAGTAAAATGCCTCTGTTTGTCTATTTCCTCCCTAGCTATTATCACTAGGCTGCAGCTAACCTCAATAGAAGAAAAATATTTCATTGCATCTTTTTTTTCTTTTTTCCTGAGGCTAAAATCATCATTGGAATGAAGGAAATGTGAAGGTCACCAAGATTCAAATCTTATTTAAAATGTGGGCATCAGGTTTCTTTTTTATGGTATTAATGTATTATGATGGGATTTAAGGATCTCTCTCTATCCCCAATTCCCATCCAGTCCAACCGGATGTCAAGTGCCTGAATTCTTTCTTTTGTCATAAATTTTGTCAAAAATTCTCTGAAATAAATCATATCCACCCTTCTTTTTTATCTAGATATTTTGTCTAAGACTGTGCAAGGTTTTCACAATAGATGCTTTGCATTGTGTAAAGGCCAGAGTTCTTTTCATTGAAACAGTTGTATCTCTCCCACAACTGCTTCAAATGCTGCTCCTGACAATCTTCACATATAAAGGGAAGCAGCAGTTTTACTAATTCAAAAGGTATTTTTGTTCCCCTATTTTTGAAGGCTTTGCACAAAATGACTAGGCAAATGTTTTGCCTTAAATCATTCTACTTTGAAGACACAAGTTATCTATGGTGATTACATTCCTCAATATCTCCTGATAAGACCTGACTATGGTTTGAATATAGATGTGTAAAAATTACCATCCTTCCTGACAGCCCTTTGAAGCCTTTTGCTCCTCTTATGTTATTGTCTTGTCCAGGTTCACCCTGTAATATGATAGTCATTTGATTAGGGAATTACTTCTAAGATTATCAAATTTGAACGATTAGTATGTCCATTCATAAGGTTCATCACATAATAGGTAATCTAGTCATATTAGTCTAGACAGCAGGGATTGTGCCAGAAGATAATAATAAATGATATGTGCATTGCAGCTGCACCTTTGAAGCCCTGTTTCTCTGTATGGGTGCAAGATCAAGAAATAAAGTATGATAATAACAAGCACATATGTCTTTTTCTATGCACATATTATTTGAAGTTCCAATTACACATTTATATAACAATAATCCAGGCCTGAAAAAATATTCTTGAATCTCCTTGGCTGATTTAGTTATGGGGAAACAATTCTTTTGCAGCTAATGCCTATTTATTCATTAATGGTAAATGAAGGCCTTAAGAGATATCCAAGGTTAGTAATGTCCTCTTTTGTCCTCATTTTCATATTTGATACTTCAAGGAGAGGATTTTTATCTTTGCAGATATGGTAACCCTATTAAATCAGTGTTGCTCTACCTTGATCATTTTAATATGGTCTTTTTCAACTTGCAGAATTCCCCACTCAGCATGTAGCTAAGAAATTATCTGTGTTGAAGTGCACACATTTTAAAATGGCTAAAGTTAAGAAGTACTGCATTAGATAATTAGGATAATTCTTTCACTTAGTTCCTGCAGCACATTTTTTCATAAGCATGTTGCTAGTTTTTGGCAATTAGGTAGGTACTACAAACTTTGGGCTCCACACCACAAAAAAAACTTAGGAATCACTTGTAGAACTTCCAACACACATATCACAGCTCTAATTTAGGTAACTGATTTCTTCACTAGAGTATGATATTTGCCTTATAGCATCATCCTAGATTCCCAAGTCACATAGCCTGTTAAACACTGAACAAGATCTATCACCCAGAAGTGTCTGCAGTAGAAGCAAAAACATAAGAATGGTAAGTGTGTGTGAGAGTGTGTGTGTGTGTGAAAAATATGGAGGACTGATTATGGAATCACAGTCGACATCCTGATATTTTTTACACCCCCTCTACTGCTGCAGACACTCTAGTTTACTATATTCATGGATGATAAGGTTTTCTAGTTATAAGTAATTATTCTGTACTCAAATAAGAGTATCCTTTATTTTTATTTCTCTTGAACCATGCATACGCATCATATAATGCAATGCAGTATTATTTTTGAAAATAAACTTACATTATCTCCTTGGAAGCCTTTTGGTCCCAGGTCACCAGGAGGGCCTTTGGGTCCTGTATTGCCCTAAAAATATATGATACTTGTGTAAAAACATTCTGCTTAGATTTATTTGTCTCAAAATTCATGTTAGATTGAATTGCAATTGCTCTTATATTGAGAAACACCTCACTTTGATGATCTTTTAAAATAATCCCATGCTCTAACATGACTTACATACTGGCTATAATTCAATTCAATATTATAGATGTTTTCTTAGAAGTAAATCCAATTTCACCCAATGAAGCTTACACCTCTAAAAGTATTTTTACAACTTAAAATATTAAAAAAAATATTTTTTTACACATAAATTCGACCTAGGGAATATTACTGGTAAAAAAGTGCCATATATCAATTCTGTTTTTTCTTGCATTTTTCATGTTTATCTTTATGCGTGTTCTTAAAGATAACATCAGTTAAATGCAAAAACCAGTATATGAAAACTTAAAAGAGGGCAGAATTATTCTATATTCTTATTATTCTTTTAGTTTGAAAGAACCACCACTTCCTAAACCAGATTTATCTTATAGCGACATCTTTCCTGCTTTTAGTAACCAGTTTTCTGACTTCAGGGGGAAAGAAAATAATAGTCAGCTTTGGAGATGGTTCAAATCCCCTCCCTTCTGTTGTAGGATCATTTCTTGAAAAAAAGAGAGAGAGAGAGACCAAAGCCACTTTACATCAATTTCTAGAATGCAATTGTCTGTTGAAGAAATACCTCTAAAACAAACCATCCTTTGTTTCCATGGAGAAGAGGTCTACAATATCCCATAAAGATTTAGATACTATATAAATACACAATGTTATAGTAAAATTAAAGGCCTTTCTAAACAAATCTCTCCCAAGTTGCAAAGCTCAGTCTTCCCCTTCCCCTTGACCTTTTAACTCTTCCTCTATATAGTATTTTGCAACTCAGTTTTCACTATCTCTACATAACAGCAGTATTCCAAGAGACTTCTTTCATATTGCTCACTTATTTTGGTATTCAGTCCAGATTCATCAACCCCTATACTCATTCTGGACCCTGCATCTTCTTTCACTACTCACACTTCAGCAAGCAAAGCTGACAAAATACAAAGTTGGAGAAAAACTTAGTTGGCAGGGGTATCTGCAGAGAAGTCAACATCAAAATAGTGGCCACAATTGGCTATAAAACCCAATTCCTTTTAAATGCATAAACAGAAGTAATGCATTGATTGCCTAGTTGCACCTGCCAATTTAGTATTATTGAAGAAGTATCTCATGGAGAATTAAGAAAAGCATCTAACTTCAACTGAAAGAAAAATTTTGGCAGGGAGAAATCATTGAATTTTGAAGAGTTATGCAAATTGATTCCTTTAATGGGAAGTACTGGAGTCTTTCAAGTGCCAAACAATGCACCACAGATGCCTGAATATCAAGACAAAAACATTTTTTATTTGCTGATTTTCAAAAGTAAGACAGCATAAGATTTCTAAATATTACCATTTCTCCAAGGTCTCCCTTTTTGCCGTTTAGTCCTGGAAATCCAAGTGATCCCTAAAAAATAAAATAAGTGTGTGTATTTATGTGTGTGTATGCATGTATACATATATTACTGGGTGAAGATGTACACTGACACACATATATGTATGTACACATAACAAAATAAGAAATAACTTTTATTTACCTCTTCCCCATGAATTCCATCAACTCCATCAGCCCCATCCTCTCCCTGAGAGAATAAAATCAGTATCAGCTCAGTTTTCACTTGTTTATTATCCAACATAATAATATCCATAGAAATTAAATATATATCAGTTTCAGTAGGTGACCCAAACTAGTAAAAGTCTATCAGTTATTACATTTGCTTTTTTTCCATCACCTTGACCTGAATTTCATTTCCTAGCATACTATGAAACATTTTATATTATGCTTGTTACAATTTCAGTTTTTTTCTTTTTGAACCCAGGCCTTTGTATCTTATACATCAAAGAGATCTAATGACTTAGACTAGAAATTAATGTTAAATAAACTACAGTAATTAAAATTTTGCACACATTGAATATTTTCTTACTATACCCTTTCTCCATGCAGTCCTCGTTGACCCTGAAAGATTTAAACAGCTATGTATTAAATCATAAAACTAATGTAACACACATACCTTAAAAGCAAAATAAAACAAAAAATCAAAAGGAAATTCTTACTTTTTGTCCCCTAATGCCACATTCTCCTATATCACCTTTCTTTCCTTGAATTCCAGAGATTCCCCTGGGACCCTGAAACAGAAAATCAAATATTATGTAAGTACATAATCAAATATGTACTTACCCCAAACTTTGAGGGATAAATTCAAAGATTGCACAATTTACCGGGTCTCCATCATCTCCCGGATATCCTGGATGTCCCTTGAAACCAGTTGTACCCTGAAAATATCAATTAAAATTGAAAATATTGAAATAATGGATGCATTCAAGTGAAAATCTTTATTTCAAAATAGTTAACAGGATATCCTAATGGTCTGTGATGAAGAGAACCTGCTAGCCACTACTGTTGACATTTAATATGGACTTTTGTTTTCTACACATTTAGACTTTTACAGATCTGAAGTACATTGAGAAAACCAGTTTAGTATAGTGGTTAAAGCACCAAACTCAAAACTGGGAGACCATGAGTTCTAGTTCTGCTGTAGACATGAAGTGAGCTGAGTGGCATTGGGCCAGTCACACTCTTGTGGCCTTAGGAAAGAAGAAGCAGTGCTGAAATTTTGCCAAGAAAATTACAGAGACATCTCCAGGCAGTTGGCAGGAGTCAATACTCAATGACACACAAAAAATAAATGTTCTAAAATCATTGCCATTTCTACAACTCCATTATTAAATAGCTGAGAAACAGATAGCTTTTCTTATATAGTTCCTAAAGTATAGAAATCACTTCCTTGCAATCCCTCATTTTCTCTATTTGAAATAATATAAGATGCACCATATTTTCTAATTCTCCAACAATTTTCCAGATGATATTGTTTTATTTTACCTGAATGTTAATGTTTCTATATACAAGGACTTGAGTCTTGAGCATTTTTGGGTAAAAATGGGATAGTCTTAAAGGTGAGAGACATTTGTTTATTATTAACCTAAATAAACAAATGCATGTTAGACTTACAAGTGACTGCATTTAGTCATTTTCCAGTATGGTCTGACCAATTCCAGCTATCTTTCTAGTGGAAAACCATTAAAGAGACATTTCTACAGGTGGTAATTCCTACTTAATTATCAAGAATTTATAAAAGCTTATATTGCCTTTATTGGCAACTTCAACTGTACTGTATGGATAAAAGCATCTAGACCAAGATGTTGGTTTTCAGATAAGTATTGCATTGCTATATGAATCATCTCACAAATGGTTCCATATACCAGGTGGTCATGTGAAACATTAATAATTATTTATAGACAGATTTAGGGAACAAATCTAGAAATAAATAATCTAATAATAAATAATAATATAATTTATTGATTGATTTATGTTGAAGAAATCATCATCATCATCTGATTTAATCATAGCTAGTCTGACATCAGCTTTATCATGTCGACCAGACAGGAAACATGACAAGATGAGCTAATTCTACTTTATTGTAAAGCTACTTCAACAGAATCTTGCAAATCTTCAAGTAGAATTCTTCCATAGTCACCTTTACAGCAGAAGAATTTAGTGTTGTTACGTTTTGATTCTTTTAGTTCACGAACTATGCAGTTGTGGACTACTCTTTCTCTTATCTGATTTATACCCTAGGTAGCATCTCTTTTCTTTGTTTCCCAAAGTCTTTCCTGTTCTGTATTGCTACATTAGCATTCTTGTAACCCCTCGTCCTGATTGGCCAGGACGCACGGCACTTGGATTGGCTGAGTGAGCCGCAGTGATTGGCCTGTTGCGAATCGCCCGTGATTGGAGGAAACCAATCGCGGGGGATTCAGAGCGGTGTCATTGGCCGTGGCTGGCTAGGCAAGTTCAATATAAGCTGCCACCGATCCAAGGGAGAGCCGAGCCAATCTCAGAACCAAATAAAGAGCTTTAAAAGAGACAGTGAGTCTCGCGTCTCCTTGTGATTGGTGAACATGACACTGGTGACGAGGATGCAATCACGGAACTGATACCCTAAGCACGTGGCACCCAGACAAAAGCAGCCGACGAGATGGCCAGCAACATCGTGCCACCCGCACCCTTTAACAAGGCTACTGAGGACTGGGAATCGTATATTGATCGATTCCTGATGTTTCTGGAAAGTAGAAACCTCAAGGACGCGAATGGACAGAAAAAAAGAGCCGTGTTCCTGACACACTGCGGACCCACAGTGTTCAAGATGGCGAAAGCCCTTGCAAAACCCGAAGACGTAAAGGCAATGGACTGGGCCGATCTCGAGCCTTTGTTGCGAAGCCATTATGCCCCCGCCGTGCCCACCCTCATCAGGCGGCACGATTTCTACCGAAGAGACCAGAAGGAGGGTGAGAGCATCAGCGATTTCGTGGCTGATCTATGAGACCTGGGGGGCATGTGCAGCTTCACAGACATGGATGAGGCTCTGAGAGACCGCGTTATCCTGGGACTAAATGATCCTGTCCTGCAGAGCCGATTGATGGCGACGGGCGAAATCTCCCTCACGGACGCCATTGCCGAGGCAACCGCAGCCAAGGCAACCCAGATGTCAGCAGCGCGAATGCGACGGGCAGACCGGCCCGCAACCACCAAAACAGCATCGATGCCCGAAGCACATCCAGAGATGAGCCGACGAGCGACTACCACCACCCATCATGGCAACCTTGACTCCCTTTCTGACACCACAGATGAAGAGGAGGACATCCACCGACTCCAGACGGAATGAGACCGGCGTGAGCGGCAGAGTCGTAAGTCGGGGCTGCAATGCGCCGGGTGCGGGGGTGACCATGCTGAATGCCATTTTTTTGATGCGATTTGCCGACAATGCGACAAGAGGGGCCACATTGTCAGAGTCTGTCAGCTCAAGCGAACCTACAGCCCCCAGCGACGAAACAGCAGTGTCAGGAGACGAGACGGCACCCCCCCCAAGGCGAAAGACTGACAAGCCGAGAGCCGGTGAAACCGAGACGGACGGAGTCGACGAAACGGCGAAAACCGACAAAGGGAAGAGACCCATCAGACGATCATCATCAGCCATTCATCAAGCTGGGATGCCCGTAAGGTACACGTGGAGGTGGGCATTGAAGGCCAGCCATGCAAAATGGAGGTGGACTCCAGATCCTACCTCTCCATGGTTGCATGGCGGGAAATCAAGCGCCTGGTGCCTACCATCAACAGTTGCGAGCTGGAAAGTCAGAAGCTAATCCTAAAGGACTACCAAGGGAACCGCATCCCCATGGTTGGAACAGGACAGTTCAAGGTCACATTTAAAGGGCACACCGAAATACTTCCCCTGACAATCGTTGACAAAGACCTCCCTAGCCTCCTGGGATTGCAATGGTTCGCGCCGCTCGGAATCGAAGTAACGGGCATTGACCATGTCGCCGAGGCAGACTGGGAGGAACAACTTGCGAGGGACTTCCAGGAGGTTTTCAACGGCAGCCTAGGCTAGTACCGAGGGCCCCCTATTTCCTTCAGCTTAGACCCCAGCATTCCCCCGATCTGCCTTAAACCGCGGCGAGTGCCTTTCGCACTCAGGCCCAAGATCGATGAGCAGATAGACAAGCTCATTGAACAAGGAGTGCTAGAGGCAACTGACCATGCCAGGTGGGAAACCCCTATAGTCACCCCAGTCAAGCCCAATGGGTCGGTGAGAATTTGCGGAGACTATAAGGCCACTCTCAACCACGCCTTACAGCAAAGCGCTTACCCCATCCCAGTAGTACAGCACCTTCTGCACTCACTGGGGGGAGGCAAGGTTTTCACAAAGCTCGACCTGGCACAAGCCTACCAACAACTGCCGGTCGACGCAGAAACCGCCGAAGCTCAAGCCATAGTAACCCACCAGGGGGCTTTCCGCTGCAAGAGACTCCAGTTCGGAGTCAGTGTAGCACCGGGGGTCTTCCAGAGCCTTATGGAGAGGCTCCTACAAGGAATCAAGGGGGTAGTGCCCTATTTCAATGACGTATTGGTGTCAGCGGCCAACCAAAAACAACTGGAAGGCCGCCTGAGGGAGGTGCTACAGAGATTCAGAGACTCGGGACTAAAGGTCAAAAAAGAAAAATGTCAGCTGTATACCAAGAGTCCTAGGGTACCTCCTAGACCAGCATGGAATCCACCCAATGGAGAAAAAAATCAGGGCCATTAAGGAAGCCCCCAGACCAAGAAATAAAACAGAGCTGCAGGCATTTCTGGGACTGATTAATTTCTATAATGTTTTCCTGCCCCAAAAGGTGACCGTGGCGGAACCGCTGCATAGGCTGTTGGACAAAACAGCCACCCGGAACTGGGGAAGGCAAGAGGAAATCGCATTCAACCGGACCAAGGACCTTCTCACATCAGACGCCGTCCTCATTCAATACAACGAGACCCTTCCATTCACGGTAACGTGCGACGTGTCACCCTTCGGCGTCGGGGCAATCCTCAGCCACACACTCCCGAACCGAAATGAAGCACCCATCGCATTTTATTCAAGAACCCTAGCTAAGCCGGAAAGGAACTATAGTCAGATAGACAAGGAAGCCCTTGCAATCATTGCCGCTGTGAAGAGGTTCCACCAGTACCTCTACGGCAGAACATTCACCATAATCACCGACCACAAACCACTGTTGGGCATCTTGGCAGGGAACAAGGCCACCCCGAACATACTATCTCCAAGAATGACAAGGTGGTCCGAATTCCTTGCTGCCTACAACTACCTGCTGATCCATTGACCCGGTAAGACAATCACACATGCAGATGCCTTGAGCCACACCCCGCTTGTTAGGAATAACTAGGTTACCTAACGTAGTTTGGGTAAAATAATATGTGTAAACTATGCCTATTAATACTCATTTATATCTTAAACATTTTAATGGTTTTGACAGGGGTACTAGCTACATTATATATTTATAAATTTGTTTCTTTGTTATTGTTGTTCTTTCTTTCTTTTTTCTTTTTCTCTCTATATAATATATTGTGTGACTTTAGGATGTGCTAAACAGAATCCCAACACAAGTTATGTGTGATATTAAGTATTATTAGGTTAGGGGAAAGAGTTAAAGGCGTCATACTCCAATTAGTGTACAGGAGAGGTTTTGTTTAAAGAGAAAAAATGAATGGATAGTTGAGAACAGACAAAGAATGATAAATATTATGACTTGAACTGAGATAAGTAGAATAAAACTAAGAGAGTTAAAAAAAAGGAAGAAGCTATATAGAAAATGGAAAACGGTAATAAGATATGGAATGATATATAAAAGGAACATGATTTTTGAAGTGATGTCTGTACGATGAG